TGCGCGGGAGAGCCATTAATTATAATTATATGATAGATCGAAATTCTATAACAAAAGTTATAAAACTTCTAGCTCTTTTATTCTACAAGGAATAACAATAAATAACATGCAATTACGCAATGAGCAAGTTTACCGTGAGTTAGCTAAAGCTAAATTATACCGTATTTCACGTCACAAGTCCTTAAAATAGACGATTTTATTCAGCAACAGATGCTATATTTATTGACCAATGGCAATCGTTGTAATAGATGAGTACACATGACTGACTTTATTTCAGGAGGCAGATGATTGCTGTTTGTCATTTCTTAAAGATCGTTATGACAAATTTAAGGTAAGAACAACCTTGTATATTTATTATTGGTAGAGAAATCGAAAATGGTTATGAAACATGAATGATATACACCACATTTAAACGGTGGATGGTTTATTCGTTGAAAATATCATTTAATCATAAAAAAAAAATCTTTGATAGAATTGTATTCCGAGATAGTGTTTTGCTAGTTATACCTTATTTTGTTAAGGCTGAAGAATCTAGTCAACAATCTAGAATGTCATGAAGAAACTCAACTTTTCCTAAAATTTTGATACATGTCCTTTCATAAATTAGCTTCTACATGTTAAATAACTGATGATAGTCCCGCTTGGGACAGCAAATTCTTCGTCAGATTTTTTTTTTTCGTGATGTGCTGCGCTGTATAAACAGTATATTATTTCTAGGTTGTTAGCTTGCTGAGATAGTACAATAGGCCTATGTGAAAGTTATTGAATACGGAACCACACTCCGGGAACATTTGTGTAAATGATAAATGGTAGCCCTCATAAAGTTAACCATTTAAATCGAAAAATATTAGGAATCTTTCAAAGATATCACGAAAGTTTGAACATTACTTTTAAATGCGCGTTTACGTCTGGAGCGCTTTGAAACTTCGGTATAACGCTATATAAATATAATTATGTGTTAATAAATTATTTGACAATTATAAATTGTGGTGGGTGTGGTAGCATAAAAAGAGAATATGTCCACTTTTATTTCATTTCATTTTAAAATTTACTTTGCATGGATAGATTTAACTAACCGGGTTGTAATTTCCAAATAATGAACAGAATTCTTTCGTTTTTTCATATTTAGAATACAAATGAATCCGTCTTTGACATCATGTGCACTCTTAATTGGTTTGATCAGTCTATTAACTTGCCTACCAGAAAGCTTGTCTACGACTACAACACCTGAAAAAAACGTCCATGAAACTTGTAATATGTGCTGCCACGGGCCGCCTGGGCAACCTGGGATTCCTGGGGTTCCAGGAACATCTGGAGGGTTGGGTCCAGCTGGACCATCTGGTAGTAAGGGTGACAGAGGTGAGTTTGTCCGAGGTGAAAAAGGAGATAGAGGCGAAAAAGGAGAGCCGGGAAATGAAGGTTCAAAAGGCAATAAAGGAAGCGAAGGATCTCCAGGTAAACAAGGACCGCTTGGAAAAATAGGACCACAAGGACCACAAGGGAACAATGGATCAAAAGGAGAAAAGGGCGAATCACCACAAGTCCGTAAATCTGCGTTTACTGCAGTACGCACCACTTCAGTACCCACTTCAGAATCGATCATTCTATTCACTTCAATGGAGATTAATGTCGGAGAAGACTTCGATAAGAATACCGGAAAGTTTACATGTAGAATTTCAGGTTTCTATTACTTCATGTTTAGTTTTTTGTCGCTAAGTGGTTATGCTCCGTATGTTAAAATGAAGTTAAATGGGCGAGATATCACAACCGTACATCGTAGTACCACTACTAGTAATGATCAGTTAAGTTCTGGAGCAACAGTTCAACTGAATGTCGGCGATGGAGTCTGGCTGACGAACGAAGGTAGACAAGTCTATGGTCATTCAAGCCACCCTCTTACCTTTACTGGGTTTATGGTATACGATATGAACTAATAAATGATGTACTTTGCATTTTTGATGATTGTAGATGTGCAAGTATAGTTCTGTAGATTTTTTCGGAGAGAGTCTTGATTGATTACAAATAATAATAATAATAATAATAATAATAAAAATTAATAATAATAATAATAATAATAATAATATTGATAGGCCTAATTAAAATAATAACAATAATGATAATTATAATAACAATAACAACAATAATAATAATAACAATAACAATAACAGTATGTGACACTTATTATAAAGTGGTTCAATGCCGGCAAGCCGACTCAAGAGTGCTTACAGTCAATCATATTAAACAACCATACAGCCAAAAAAAATCCATTTTATGCAGCCACATCCCTTAAAAAATGTCTGTTATTATGAAGCCCGTGATTTCTATGTAAGTGGGGGGGAAGGGGGTGGGGAGGTTTTCACCTAAATTATAATTGAAATAAGGAAACAGTAGGCCTAAAAATAAGATGAATATATAGCTGATTGATTTAATTGTTTGAAATCGAATTGAGTAAGCAAATACGTCAAGACAAGTGTTTGGAATTTGCTCAGATGAACACGTCATTTGTTGCTCTATGTAGTACGATACAGATCGCATGAACAGTAGCTTTACGTAATGAAAAAATGGCATAATATACACTAAGAATTATCTATTAGGAATATTGAGGTTTTAAAAACTATTCGTTATTGGAAATTATGAACTTGAATACCAGAACTTTTTCAATTCAACATAATCGTAAATATTTATTTTGAATAAAATTACCGTACTTTTATAGTTTGGTTTCTAATTAATGAAATTAGAGAATGCAATTTATTGCATTTTATAGGTCTATATTATTATTATTATTATTATTATTATTATTATTATTATTAGGCCTATTATTATACGAATCATTACGAACATTCATGACATGATGAATGTTGCTTGAAGAATAAAACATTGAATTGAAATATTGTAGTGTACGGGTTTCTGCCATTCCGTCCAACGTATCATGTGCGCATGTTTTGCAAAAACTTAACAACTGACCAATCAGAAGAACATTAGGAAGAAGGGCGGGGCTTAGCCAAACGGTCATGGTGTATTACACTATTGAAGCAGACTCTTTCGTGATCTCTTAAAAGTTGTTGTATACATGCCTGAAGTCTACATGATAATGATAATTGATGCCACTAGGCCTGCTGTCTGCGTTCATGTGATCGGTGTATGTTTGCGATCACCACTGCTGATGTGTATAAGAGACAGCTCTTTAAGGGCGCGTTTACGTCTGGAGCGCTTTGAGACTTCGGTAT